ATGAATATTTTATATCTCATTACTTTAAATTGCGATTCAGATATTAATTTTAAGAGTGATTAGAAATTTATTAAAAAATTCTAATGTACATATATCATACCAACGTCCACACTACCTCCAACGAATTTAAAAACAAATATTCATTTTTATTAGTTAAATCACGGCAGCCTAATAGGAAAACAGGAAAGAAAGTTAAAAGCCCAAAGATCATTCAGTTTTTCCAATATATAGGGGGCAACTTCAAATAGAATGTGGCATTTCGAATTAGAATATCTTTAAGTTGTTTACTTATTACTTAAAACTATTATTTATAATTATATATTATTCATATTATCAAGGCTCTTTCCAGCATCATTGCTAAAATGTTATTACATTAGCAAGGTTATATTATTTAATGATGATAGTTTGAACATTAATGACTGACTTTTGTCCAAGGCTTGGTGCGCATAATAAAAACTGTAAAAGAGTTATATGACATCGAAAATTGACAAACTTAGGTAATCATAAAAAAATTATCTGTTTAATCAATTTTTATCATTACAATTTAGTCATAGAAGATTTTATGATGAATTCAATTGAAATTATGTACAAATAATCATTATACCATCACAACTATTGAAATCGGTTTAAATAAAGCGGGAAACGCAAAATTTTCAAGAGGCTCTTGACGTGGTATCATGACAACAAAAATAAAAATATATCGCAAACAAACTATTCAAATTAATTTCATATTTTTTTATCATTCAAAAATTGTACTGCATATTTTTATTGCCTCATCCATCCTCGTGCCAATATCACATAGAAGAAATTCCTAGCTATAAAACACAACATTTATTTGTATAAACAATTTTAAAACAACATTGTTTTCATTTTCATCTTTTACAACTGTAGGTATGACAATGTTTTCATTTTCATCCCATACAATGTACCTGTACGTATGCAAACAATGTGTTATTTAAAAAGAAAATATTGAAAAATTTTGCTCTATTAAATTATCATGGCTGGTGCCTGGTATGCAACAATTTGCGAACTCTCGTTCATTAATATTTTTATCGTAACACATAACAATATAATTTTTTTAATTTGTATTCATTCTGATACATTTTCAAACAATGGGGTCGATATTTTGAGCACAATGTGTACTAAGAATTCAATGGTTTGTTGAAATGTCAATTGTTATCATCCAGAGCCTATTAAAGTTATTGAAAATGATTGTCACAATTGTTTAGGTAGGCGAAGACATAGTAGTATAGTAATTATATTATAATTTTAAATAAATATATAAATATTTTATGTCGAAATTTGATCGTTTTGCTCCAACTCTATATATGTTCTATCTTAAAAACTTTATACGAAAATATGCATAATAAGGCTGGCAAGTCATTATCTTAACTCAAAATATACGAGTCAATTAGATAGTGAATATTATTTTTAAAATCGTGTATTTTTTTTCCATTATTGCTTTATTATCATACGGAAATACTACGTCGAAACAATTTACTATCATTTGTCTATCTGTCACGAGCAATGGCTTAGTTTTAACAGACGCTACCATTAAATTAATTGATATGATTAAAAAATATAGTACGCTGCATTCTTCTTATGATATTCTCATAAATAAATTGAGGTCAATTTAGTTCGTATAGAATTATATTAATTCATACATTTTTATATGAATTAATGTACTACGAATAGTTATAATCATTGATCATGTCGTATAACTACTATTAACACTGCTAAAATATTACTTCCATTAAAGTATATATTTAAAATGATGAAATAGATATTATTTAAAGATAAACCTCTTTAATCTCGTTTCTATTTTATTATTTCACATTTATTCGCAATTATTTTTCGTTCTAATAATATCTTTATACACGAAAGTACTTTAAAAATAATTGTAATTCGAAAACCTTTTATTTTACAATTTGATCTTTTCTTTTGTTTTGAGATAAAACACTATATTATTAATAATTTCAAATTTATATCATTTTCACTTTGATTTAAGACTGCGCCGAAAACGTATAAAATACAGTATATTAAGTTTTTTAATCAAATATTTTGACATAAAAAACCAAATTATTTGTTGAATGACTACGAGACATATATTTCAGATGTGTGCTTCGTCCGGATATAAAAGATAGCACAGCTATTAATAAAATAAGGTGCGCCTATACGCTTAATGCGCTTCTACTTCCACAGTATAATGTATGCAAAATTTCACAAGTCCGTGACTTTGTTGCCATAAAAGGCAACATAAAAAGGTTAGTAGAAAGCTTTCATCTATGCAACTTAATAACGCCTGACTCGACTGAAAAGATACCACTTTTTCGGTGAGTCTTAAAGGTTTTTCGAAATGTATTAAAGAAAATCAAAGTCTGGAAAAATACCGGAAGAATTAAATGACTTCAAATCATTGTCTTCTTGAAACTAAATGACGTTGGCGGAAGATTGATGCAATATACATAATAACAACTGAATCTAACTATTTGAAGCGAACGTTTCTTTATACATACATATGTATATATTTTCTATAAACTATCGCAGATTCCAAATATTTTTTCACATTAATTTTTAAAATTGTTTCATATTAAGACTAGATGCTTTAAAGAACAGCGTTCATCTAATTATAGTAGTCATTTCAAAATAAAAAAAATGATAAAGCTAATTTTTTTTTAAAACCATCGCATTCGCAGTACATTTATAAAAATTCGCCGCCGCATATAGGTAATTAATTTAAAACTACCTCTATACATTCGTTTGATAAAAAAATTTACTTCATAATTCATAATTCGAAAAAAATACTAGAAAACATTTTATTTATATTTCGCGAATGCGGATGATGCAGAAGGGAAAAAAATCATTCGATTTTATTTATTATCATATTCGCTGATAATAAAAAACCAATCAAATAGTCTTATGTTCAAAACTCATAAAAATAATATAATAATAGCTTGACAACAACATTTAGATATTAATAATCGCCGTCAGCATATGTTTAAATAATAATAGCGTTATGTAATAATTGTAAAATAAATATAGTTTTTCATTAAATTTTTAACTTTTATTCGCACTAATGAACCACTTCCCAATAAAGCCGGTCACAGTTTCTTCTTCATTTTAATGAACAATAGTGCTACAGTAATTAAAAATTCTAAAGTTACTCATTCATGCAGAAACTAACGAAAATTTATAAATGGTATTATTTTTCAGCTAAATACAATGGCGTTATATATAATCTACTTATCTGACAAATCTCTAAGATAAAACTAATAGAGAGTATGATGAAAAACGAGAAAAACCGCAGGGAAGCGCTAGTCGTAATACAAAAACATTGTATGCGTTCATTCCATCAACACAACGGACTTGATAATTCGACCGTAACTTAAAAGAACTAGTTAGATGATTTCACTTTGTCTAACACATTATAAAATCAATTGATCAGACCAATATGGGATCGTCTCAAGAAATCTCTAACACATAGTTTTATGGACACTTTTTTATATGGCTAACAATTGAATTTCATTAAGAAATAAATGAAACATTCAACACGCCCTTCTCAATAATTGTAAGATTAACTTCAATCGTCGATACTTAGCGACCCCTTCATTGAAATAGAAGGTTAAAGGTTAAAAACGTTTAATTAAATTTAGCCTTTGTATTTTCTTTTTGACAAAAAAATATTTAATGTCCAACAAAATGAACGACAAAAATATTTTAAGTTATTATAAAAAAAATATTCTACTTGCTAATGTTAAAAAAATATATGTAATTATTGATTTTTCGTTGTATGCGCTCTTTAAGTTGTAGTGACCTAAATTAACATCATTGATTATCAAGTTATCTAGATATGTTGATAACAAAGTAGAATTGATCGTAAAAAGTAACTTCAAATCATGTTCTATATATAAGTTAAAGTAAATTAATTTTTATATTATTAAAGCTACTCTACATATCTAGCAATATCTATGAAAAAAACCACTAAAAATAGAACACCACTAATAGTTGTATCAAACCCACAAATTGGTGCTATCATGCAAATAAATTCATCTTATATAAAAATTCAATGTGAAATAAAAATTATTTCAAATAATCTAATTCATTAAACATACGTGAAAATGTGTTGAAAAAAAATTGTAATAATTATTATTGTAGAAAACATGTTCAATTGTAATTGTGTCCTATATTGTTTTAACACAGAGATGTTTTGAGACATTAAGTGCTAATAATTGTCACATGCCATTCTATTTCTCTTTAATTAATATATTATTTTATACAGTACTATAAGTGAGCATGCAGTTTTAATAACGCAAAAAAATCTCAGCAGTGTGTATACACTATATAATTAATTGTATGTGATAATAAATATAAAGCGTTATATCTAAGTGTGAGTGAGATTACCTCATCCTTGCTCAAAAACAACTGAAACGAAAGGAAGCACAATTAGAGGGTTAACTATCCATTAAACACAAACTAATCAATGACAACACATCGGTCTTAATGACAACAGCTGACTTAGTAAAAAAATATTTATGTACCACATTTAGTAAAGCGACCAAAGTGATTAGAAATTTGAGTACTACTTGTATTATTTACCATCAAATAAATATATTGCTATAAATATAAAATACATATATATTAAAAGATCACTAAAAACACACACACACACACACATACACACTTAAACTGACACACATGCATATAATATATATGAATATGATCCCCTTATAAAGAAAACCCAGCATTGATTAAGATTCTTTATACTTGTTATGGTAACATTATGCATACTTATTCATTATTACTTTTAATGTTAGGAAAATAACCCAAACTACACACAGCCACACATAAACATATATAAAACATTGGGTATTTAGGTAATATGTCTAAAACTTAACAAACAAAAATTTAAAGTGATTATCTAGACTCCTAGAACAAATATAACATCGATATATAAACAGCCAATTTTGTTTCTCAATATTAATGAAAAGTCAGTAACTCACCTGTTTATGTTTTATTTTGGGACACTCGGTGTATGCTAATTCTAGTTTTGAATTACTTGGAGCTTTCTTTGGTCTTGTGTTCTTAATACCTAGTGACCTTCCGAAAGGTGCAAACCAATATCTAAAAAAAAAGTATTATTAACTATTTAATTGGGAAATAGTTGTAAAGTTTAAAACAAAAATATAACAAAACAAGTCAACTTTAAAATAAATTCAATAGTTTTTAAAAAAATAACTAGTAATAACAAATAAAATAAAAATTTAATTTATAAAGTTTTCAAACAATTTAATAAAATTGTTTAACATGTTCCAATTGGTATTTGTAAGTATTCACATAAAAAAATATTTTAACACTATAATTCTCATAATCTATAAATTTGTTTCTTTAACTACCAAGTATTTTAATATCAATTATAGATCACTTTATCAATTTCTAAGCTTGATAACAATGAATCACGAGCTGTGACCAGGTAAAAAGTAACGACCCACGAAAGATTAAAACTATAACTTACTTTTCTAATACCTGTCGTAAAGCTATTAACACGAACGCCAAGGGGATGGGATATAGGAGGTGTCTGTAATCCGCGTACACCACAGCCTTATCCGGCCCTGGAGTTATATCCTCCCAAGTAGTATTCGGCGGCAGCCAAACATCTTCATCCCAAAATTTATTTAATAAAGCACGCAACATTGTTAATACTTTATTATTTATATGCACTTGTCAAGTAATAGTCACAATATTAAACACTTTTCAGTGAAATAATTTTTATGGTATATAAATACTAATTTAAAAAAATATTCGTTTTATACACCCGATCAAGACAGCACTAGACTGTTGAACAAGAAGATTGGTGAACGATAGTACATAGTTATCCTATGTCAAATTCAACATTAACTTTTTTTTTGTAAATGTTTTCACGGCTCTGGATACGAGTCCTTTTTAAGCCTATTCCACATAAAATTCATTTGGTGTTGCCAATGCTATCCAATACCAAATGAATGTCAATAAATTATTGTGCATATTATATTTATAAATATTAACAATATTTCCTTGAATATTAATTATGTATAATATTAAGTAAATTTACAAAGGTAAACGACTTCATTAAACGACTTCTACGCTGTATCAAGGTTTGAAAAAGTAGATATACTAAAGTAGATATGGATAAAAGTAGAATATTATCCAAAAATAGAGACTTTGTCTGGCTTGGTATAAGTATAAAAAAAATAATCAAATAAAATGTTCTGAGCATTGAATCAAATATGGTGTTAGTAACAAATATTTTATATTTTAATTGTGGACAAGAAAACTCGGTTACTTAATTATAAAGTAAAGGATAATCTGTTTTATAATATATATTATACTTCACAGCACTCCGGTCAAGGGTAATAAACTATTTGATCTTAGAAAGACAATCCTATAATTTCGAATGGATCGTTCTGTCTATCATTTCAACCCTGGGAATCGTCCCAGATTACTTCGTTTCCATCTGGAAACGAAGTAATAGGAAACCTTTTCTGTTTCCTTATATATTAACAAATCTTTGAAGGATCATTTCTTAAAAATAAAAATTTATAAAGGTACCCTTATGCTTAATTTCCTTGTCTCGATCCTTGATTATAACAAACATAACGTCACGCTGTCAAAGTATTAAAGACATCAGTATTCAGTCAAATGTTAAATGACAGTTTATAAGACTGGACCATGTGATTTTTCATTATTGTTACAGACAATTTAGGCTTTACTTCGAAAATTATGTTACTTTAGCTAGATTTTAGCATAACTATTTTTATATATCTCTAAAAAGTTAATGTCGAACTGTTTGGCAGCAAATGTTACTATAATTTTTGATAAAAAATAATGTTATTCTGCCCAATCTGTGCAAATATTCTTATGGTCGAAGAGGCTTTTGAATCATCGCTACGGTATGGTTGTAATACTTGCCCCTATATATACAATATACGGAGGAAAGTCTCGTCGCGCACCTTCCCAAAACTAAAGGTTAGTTATTACTTATTAGTTGTATTGCATCATTCTTTTATCATATATTTCACTTATATTGCGACATTGGTTTCAGGAGTTAGATTATATTATGGGTGGTGCTGCTGCATGGGAGAATGTAGATTCAACTGATGCTGTATGCCCCAAGTGTGCTCATGGTAAAGCATTCTTTATGCAATTACAAACACGCTCAGCAGATGAGCCTATGACCACATTCTATAGATGCTGCAACCATAAATGTGCACATAATTGGCGTGATTAAATATTTATGAATGTCATGAACATATTAAAGAAGAACACCTATAGTATGTTAGTGAGGTATAAAAGTGTGATGTCAACTATGAAAATTGATAAAATGGCATCGATATTTCCCTGTGACGATGTATCACATGTGAAAGCCGCAGAATACCTCGAAAGAGGAGAGGTAATAGCTGTGCCAACAGACACAATATATGGACTTGCTTGTAGTGCTAAATGTCCAGAAGCAATAAAAAAGCTTTATACAATCAAAGGCAGAGATTCAATTAAACCAGTCGCTATCTGTGTTAATTCAATATTAGATGTAAGACGCTGGGGTGATGCATCTCATTTGAGTGATAGTTTACTTAACAATTTGCTTCCGGGACCCGTTACTGTAGTTCTAGAAAAGACAAAATATTTAGATAATCCATATTTAAATCCTCAGACAACAAAAATTGGTATTCGCATTCCTGATAATGTATTTATAAATAATATGACCAATGTATTTAATAAACCTGTGGCTTTAACGAGTGCAAATTTTAGTAATGAACCATCAACACTGTGTATAGAAGAATTTAAACATCTCTATGAACATTTGGGGGCAGTGTTTGACGGTGGTACTTTAAGTCGAGGCCTTAATGCTAACAGAATAGGTTCAACAATAGTTGACTTGTCCGTTAAAGGAGAATATAATATAATTAGAAAAGGTATTTCATATGAAAGAATTGTTGAATTTTTGAATAGTTATGGCTTAAGAGGTGCTGTTAAATAAATAGCAAAACAAAAGATTGTTTTATTTGTAATTGTCTACAGATTATGTTATTAGACTTTAAAACTGGCACATGTAAAAAAAAAAACAACAAAATACCAAGCACTACAACCTTTATTTAGCTTATCTCATTGTCACCAAAATTATATACTATCCATAAATAACTAACAAAATTAATTTCAAATATTTAAAATCTTTGAAAAGCTATCTACTAGAATTCAGGCGATGCAAATATTCTACTTGAATTTATAAATAATAATTTAAACATGTATATCTACAAAACATATATACACAGACATTCATATTGATTTACTGATAGGACTTCTATTGTTTGGCAGCTTAGCTTCCAAATTCTGCCACCTGCTGGGTGGCCAAACTATGCAGAGGGCTTTAGCATTAATCAGACCTAATGATACCGGGCCAAATGTGTTGCTATCCAATGTATGACCTGTATGATCACCTTCAACCCAACAATGCCCTTCAGGGATTTTTACATATTGATTCTTGTAACCGAGTGTGTTTACAACATCACCTTCCAGAGCGACCACTCGCTTTATGATCTTCTGATTAGGGTCTTTTGGAGACACCAGTGAGATAACATCACCTCTTTTAACTTGATAATCTCTTACTGACCATCGCGACAAAAATACGTAATCGGTATTCTTGGTTCCCGGATTGAGAACTGGCTGCATAGATATTCCTTCCACTCGTGCGACATATCCCACTGTGTCAAGGAAGGTTATGCCTATGGGTACTCCAAAAAGGACAGATTTGCACAAACTTTTGAGAAACATTTATATGCCGATATGCTAGTATGGCGGTCAAACGTTACCGACATAGTCGGTATATGCAATTAATTTCCTATCAATCATTTACGGTCCATTAATATTTTTATAAAATTTTAAGAAGGTATTTTTTTGAATAATTACGAGGTAGTTGACAGTTGACAATTAGAGAATGTCACTGACCTTGACAGCTGAATATAGATAATGAAAGTTAAAACAACTGTTTGATTTGTATACATGTAAAAAAATTGGTATATCATTTATATAACCTAAAAATAATACATAAGATGTATTCATCTTCAATGTAAAGTTGTGATTTGAATTTATATTTCAGAAAAATTGTGAAAATTTTATAAAAAATAAATAAATGAGCTGTACTTAGTGTAATTATTCTATCATTAATGTAATCATATAATTATGACACATTCTGAGAAACATTTAAATAAAGTGTTTGTTCTATTTATTAGCCCTTATTATTTATACACCTCCTTTAGTGGCTCAAAAAGCATCGTTCTATCATAAAATAACAAACTTTCTCTAAATTACTTTTAGTTATTATATTTACAGCTGATTATGTAAGTAATATGTTTTTTAAATCACGTCGCGCGTCTATTTCAATTGAATTAAAAATAACACTTTTTCCTTTGAAGTCAGGAAAAACAAAATACACTCTTTAAAAACATAATTTAATAATCAATTTCTACGAGGGAGTGTATTCTAATAATAAAAATTTATTCAATAATTAGTATAGTACTACATATTATAACGTGTTGCTATAATTTGTCTTTGATTTTTAAAGAATAAATTATTCCACAGACTTTTTATTGAGTTAGTTAAGTGATCAAATCGATAGTATTTTTGATTTTTGTGATAATTTCATTTTTCGTATTCCGACTTACCTAAATTACATTTTTAAATATATATTTTCTATAAAGTTCAAAAAATCATGACACATTATAAAATAAGTTATGTTACTTCTGTTCACTTTTTATGTCTACTTTGAGTATTATAACCGTTTTATTAATTTTGAGAACATACATTTAAAGAAAGATTTTTTTTCACATTTAAGACATTAATGATATGTTTATTGTCCTAATGTTGAACACTTACACTTACAACATATTTACTTTTTTGTATAATATAATTTTAAGACTATTTAAAATTTTAACAATATGTTTTTAGACGCTTAATCATATTACAAGATTTTTTATCTGTTATTTTATTTACACTGTCACGTCACTCCAAGCAAGAATGAATGACCATAGACTATAGAATTACTTATTCGGTCTTTACAATTACTCTAAAAAGTGTTGATGCTTTCTGTAGTCAATCACAACCACCACCAACCAAACAGAAATTTTAGACATTTTATTTGTGTGCAATAAGTATAGTATCAATTAAAAATAATTTAATTATGTGATGAATTCATAAACGGCGGCTGGAAATTCCATTTAGAAAGGATTGTCTACAAATGGATGTGTCCCGTGGTCGAAAAAAACTTACAACCTGCATAATCAGCTGTCAGTGAGGATAGATCATCTGTCTCTGTAAATATAAAAGCTTAAACAATCATAACACGATTATGTCCAGTGAGAGTTAGTAATGAAGTGAGCTGTTATTGTATGATGTGAACCTGATGCGAAGCTCGTTGGGACGCGACTTTAAAGACAGATATGGGATGATAACCTATTAAGTAGCGAGACGTTCGCTATGGCAGGGGCCCCGTGAGGTTACGAAGAGAGTTGGTCTTTTGGAAGGTCAGTAAATGCCAAAATATGTCCGCAGAATTCCCTTTCGCGACGAAGATAGTAAGTCCCTTAAAATGCATTGAAAAACCATGGGATTTGTGGGTTAGCGAAATTGGACACCTGTCTCCTCGCCGTGATGACGACGGCATGGGCTTCCCGTCATCGGCGACAGATAGTCGGGGCCATGCGGTGGTCAGGAGGCCACACGAAGTTCATCCATACAAATCCACGGAGAGGATTCAGAAAGTTTATCGAAGAGCCGGAGTCAATCGTCTTCAGTACGAGAGCATGAGTCTCCATGGTCTTTTCCCACAAATGGATAATCTTAATGCGGCTGTGTGTCATATGTGTGGAATCACAGTGAAGTGTAGTGCAGCATACAGACATTTATTAGAGTCCCATACCGGTGCAGAACCAATACTCCCACCTCCTCCTCCCACCGTAAAGCTAAAATCCAATTTAAGTAGAAGTCGTCTTAAAAAAGATCCTTTGCCTCCTCTCCCTGTAGACATACATCCAATAAAGTTGGAAACGTCTCCTGTTCACACAGCTGCAGCTCCTATCTCAAGGATAGTTTTGCCACAACCTGATTTACAATACTTGGAGGAAGCGAGCACTTCCTCAGCAATAACAGGGGAAGTACAAGTTAGCATGGAGAGTGGCGAGTTACCAGTTGTGAGTATACAGGACACTGAAGAATTACCCCTTGGTGAAAATATTACAGATGACATTTTTGCAATAATGAACTCTGAAGGAATCCAGAGTGCAGATGACATCACAAATGCCGCTGATTGGAAAAATATAATCAGGGATATAGGAAATATGCAGGAAATAAATTTTCCATCTACTGCAGATTCTATACAATCACAAGACTTATATTCAACAGTTGATACCTCATTCTCCAATTACACTTTAGCTGACTCCGATTTATCTAATTTGCAATTCCCTCCCAATGCATCACCCTTGCTGTCAACTGTGATAGACAATAATGTACTCAATGCTCAAGCTTTAAAACAGACGCCTACCACGCCGTCCACGAAAACATCACGAAAGTCAAGTAAAACGAAAGCAAACAATCAGAGAGAATACGACCCGAACAAGCATTGTGGGGTCGTGACAGCCGAGAACCCAAAGCCTTGCACGAGGTCATTGACGTGTAAGGCGCACGCGTTGTCCTTGCGACGCACAGTCGATGGCCGATCTAAGCCTTTTGACACACTGCTAGCCGAGCACCGAGCATCGCGGGAAGCTGCGGCCGGTGGAGCACCACTCACCTCGCCCGCCTCGCTCCCACCACTCCTAGTCAATAGTTCGCTGGACCTCGGCAGTTTTAACGGAATGACCGCCGAGCAACAGGTCAACGACATATACGCGAGCTTGCTGAGCGTAGAGGATCCCATGCTGCCCGACACATCCGGCATCACGTCTCTCCTGAGCCAGCCACTGTCGGACCCCTTCCTATTGCCGGACGACGCGGAGCCAGCGCCGGACGCACCTCCTCTCGTCCCGCACCGCACTCGAGAGATCCCTCCCGTCCCAGCTACGTCCACAGCTCCCAGCTCCGCTCCGTCGCTAGTTCCGGGTGACGTTTGTTGGTACGCCGCCAGCCCTCGGCCACTCGCCTTGTGTACATTCAACACATCGCACGCGGGCGGTGTCATTACACTGGGAAAGAAATTCGCAACCGTTCGGAACAACATAAAAACGTCGCTCTCGCGGTCAAGCAAGGTCACATGTGCCTCTAATAACTATTACGGACAGGGTATGTCGCTTTCGAAGACCCTGCATATGAACAATGCCAACAAGACGAACAAACCCGAGGTTCGAAAGTTGATAGTGACGTGTAGTGCGCCCGGCGTTCAGAGGGAAATGCAACAGACTTTGAGTGATCTCTTCGGACCGGACGTGAGACATACGCTGAACGGTCACATGGGGCACGCGGGTCACACTAGCCATATCGGATTAGGTAGAAGCACGCGAACCACGCTCAAGAGCGCCAAGCGGGCCTCAGCTGCCGCGCTCGATCTTGGCTTCCCTCTAGACCCATTGCTAGCCGACGAGAAGTGTTGAACTGTTTCATGAATTGTATATTTATTTTTCTCCTGAGTCGGATGCGCATTGTAAATGTTGGTTGATACGAATTTTATCCGGAACGGAATTTAAAAGTTGCGATAGTGATATAAATCTCAAATTTTGTCAAGATGAACTAATGTTTGTATTATTTTGTATATTATTTATAAGATTTTTTTTATTGCCGATTTGAATGTCGGCCATCGACGGAGAAATAATAGATTATGCTGAATGGTTGTATTTTTTCGTATAACATAACTCATTGTTGATAATGAAATTAATACTGAGAAATGGCCTAGGTATACTGTTTATTGTGATGAAAATTTCCATGTAAAAATATAAATACAAATAAAATAAGTCAAATTCGTAATAGTAAATCGCCTCCTTTTAAAAATACCTCAATGACTAAAACAACTTGTTTTAATTTACACAGTCACCTACAAATAATTGTGAAAGTCACAAACGTTAGGGACACTACTGTACCTATTATTTACAAGATTTCTTCCACAGTTTCGCTAAAACAAGTTATTACATCTCCGTTAATTTTAATATTGGTAGTCAAATAATATTGCAAATATGTGCATGAGATTAAAAAAGTTTGGGTGTTTCATATTTATGAAGCTTATTAATATTTAGATAACATAGAAAAAATATTATGCTTTATTGTTTTTGAATTTTGCGATGAACTCAAAATATAAGATGATAATGATACATTGTTACCCTTAAAAATTCTTCCATCATCTCAGTTCAACACAGCCAAATTTACCTCAAACGAACAAAGACAGAATAGAAAAAGTAAATTAATTTATGTCCTAGTGTCCTATAAATATTTTTATAAACATTTCAGTATGTAAAGTGGTCTTGGAATCATAGGTACACTATCAAATTTATTTTTTATAAATATGGCTGGGGTAATTGTGTAACCAAATACTTTTTGAACATAGACATTTAATTCGATTATTTATAACAATTAGCTTTAAAACCTTTTATACATTGAACATATATCTATTGAATACCTACAAAACTGTTTAAATAGGGGACTATTATTTACATTCATAAAGATCAAAAAGTACTTAATTGAGTCCTGAAAAAATTTATGCAAAGGTATGTTTTTGGTTTGTGACTTTTGAAGTGTTCAAAATAATTGTTATTTTCAATATTAAAGCAGGCAAATGATAATTAGACGAGATTAAGAATTATTCATAGTACAATATGGCATGTTTTTATAAGAGATTTTATTATAACTCTAACAAGACAACGAATAACTTTGAAAATTCTATAAGATAGAAAAACCACATGTTTTTAATTATATTTTAAAATCGGACAATAAAATCCAAAAATATTTTTAGTAAATCTACATCCCATAATAAATCTTAATTTTACCGCAATGTAATTTATAATGTGTTTGATTTTTTGCTTACATTCTACATATATTTTAAACTAGAGTGATAACATTCCCTTGTTCCTGGGAAGAAAATATACAAAATTATGCATTCTGTCCATTAAAATATACAAAATATTATTTCTGAAAAACGTTATGACTTTGGATAATTTTGAAACTTGTTTTCTTTTTTAAAAAAAAACATATATTTGATGTGTTTGGGCTATAAAACCCATAATCTGCTTTAAGCTCTAAATTTTGTGATTTTAATTCAGTAAGAATATCAGAAAAGCTGACATAACATTATTTCCTTTTGTTACTATTGGTATAAATACATCAAGGACATGGAAGGAGTGGTAAATAATTTGCTAATAAAGTATTTAATGTATGAACAAAACGACGGTACATGTCTGTTTAGAAACAGTGATAATTCAATCTCATCCCTCTTAAAAACGAATTTACCGATACAGGATTCAGAACAACGATGGGTTATATATAAAATACGAAACCAACATATAATTTTGGATAAGTTTAATTACTGTAACGAATTCTCTCGACATGTTTGTTTATATCATCTATAATTGGCTCACAAATCAATTATAATAGTTGTCAGACCAAGTAAAATGAAAGTTTTTTCTCTAAAATCAATTTTATGAATTTTATTAAAGTGTGTTCTATTTCATTGGATATAATATTTCTATCGTAAAGAATTTTCCTTAATTATTTAGCCTTCTTCATAATCCTGCCTTTCGTCTTCGATTTCACAACTCCCTTGAACTGTTTCGAAGTAACCGTTTTCTTTCTGTAAATGAAAAGAAAGATATATTTTGTTCAGCATACAACTGTAGTCTGTTTAAATCTGTTAAAATAAACATTTGTATACATGTCAATTTCTTTTGTTATTTAATTGATGAATACTATAACTACTAGTAATATAATTCTCGCACCTTTTATTAAGATTCTTTCTTGACATAGGTAGATACGCGTAAGGGTCAGGTTTTCCTTTTTTCTTGATGTCACCCTTTGCCTTCTTGGAACGATACTCGGATCCCACGTTGGAGGAAACAGATGCCGCTGAACTTAAAGGTCTAAAAGTATAGAAGTGAATTAATAATAAAATAATTGAGTACATCTACTTGTAAACAAAAATTAAAGCTGTGGAGAAAATAACATTTTATGTTTATCTATCTTAGCGCTCTTTTAGTTTCAATTTAAACTCTAAACTGAAGTTAGAGTTTAGGTAAGTTTAGTCAATAAACATATATGACGAACAATGCAATATTAATCAACAGATCCTTTTGGATTTAGAAAAATTATATCTAAGAGAGAATGCTAGGATGTAACTTTTACGTCTGGGTCATGTACTTGTGAAAGTTAGATTCCTCCTATTTAACATGTTTGGTTCAGTGAAATATAATTTATATGCTCGAGTAAGCTTCGGTTCTGTTTTAAAAACTGTTTTATTTTAAGACGAATATGTATATTTGTGTACCTGTGTATACCCCGTCCACCGGCAACGTACGAGGCCCTTGCTGTTGAAGCTCGACTATGTCCCGTACGACCGCTCTTTACACTGAGAATGTCGTCATAACGACGCTTTACTCCCGGCTTTATAAGATTAGTTGCTTTGGACTCGTCGTCTGAAAGGGAATAAGGATTTTGTATTTTTTAACCATAAAAGTTTTTAATATTTTGAAGCCATATACAATGAATACGGGAGGAGATTTAAAAATCAATAAATTTAGGTGAAATAGTAATAAATATTACGCATGGATTCTTTTGGATGTTATTCTAAAAGTAGTATAAGTGTTGTTTACATACCAGTGTCATCGGTATCGGAGTCCACATCACCGCTGGGACGCTGTTCATCTTCATCACCATCTTCATCAAACATATCATCACTGATGATGAGTCTGCCATCAGGAGCTGTCTTGAAACCGCCATCTTTCTTCTTTTGCTTAATTTCAGCAGCATCACGTTTCTTCTTAGGGTCAGTGGCTGTTAAAAAATAATTTAATTAAATTTATCTTCCTCAATATATCAATAAAGTATTTTTTTAAAAATAAAGATATTTATTTGATTACTGTAGAACATCTAAGTCAACGTACCAGTAATTTTCCTAGCGGAAGAAACGTCCGCCAGATCGACAATATTGTCTGGGTCGTCTTGAATCCAAGCTTGATTACGTGATTTTGTTTTGCTCTTTATCTATAAACATGATACAGACGTTTTATTTTCATAAAAATTACCAACATAATTCAGAGGAAGCATCTGATATATAATTTTTTTGTCATTCTATTATATTAATTCCGATTACTAAAAGGTTAATATCTCGTACCTTGTTCCTTGGTCGCTCTTCTTCCTCAAGTAGTTCGAGTTCCGAATCTGAGTCTTTAAGGATATCTTCCAATGTTTTCGAAGTACCTTTCACGTCGAACTCTGACGAAGAGTCTTCTTGGTCCCTGTTAAATTAAATTTTGTTATTATTTTAAGATTTCTTAATGAGATTTTGTAAGCGATAATTGCAGGTTTCTAAAATTAGATCGTTCTTGTGACTGATTTTTAAATTTTTTACCAATTCAAAGCTCATAAACCTGAAATAAGACCGGCCGTTACAAATAACTCATATTTTTATATTATAATGATTATTAATTTCGAGCCACGAAAATATTTTTTAATTTAATATAGGAATTATTTTATAACTCTGGGTGCTTTTTGATATATTAGGGATATACATTATCAGTTTTGTTTTTTGATACTTAGTAATATAAACATAAATTAATGTTTTTTTTACCTCTCTCCATCTGCAGCCCTATTTTTCCTATTCTCCAATTTCCTCAGATTCCTAAGTCTCTTCAACATAATTTCATCTTGTTGCGGTATGAGCTTCTCAACGAATGCGGCATCAAATTTCCTGATCATCCTGCTCAGGAAGTAGCCTATTTCCAGTCGGCAATAACGTTTACAGTCATCGCTTATAGACGACAATGTTTTGAATATTAGAGGCAGACTGCCAGCTAGAACTTCGGTTGGCAAAACTTTTGTGTATACCTAAAGGTGATAAACATGTATGAATTTTGACCTTCACAATAATATAGTTAACGTAGTATTTTGACATGAAGTAATCAAAACTTTAAACCTATCTTACTTTATTGTAATAAAAGAACATATCAAAGATTTTGAGGATAAAAATTCTGTTATTTAACGTTGTTATAAATAAATACTGAAAATTTCAGTGCAAAAATGCATACTAGTTCGAATGCAAAGGAGTAGGCAAAAAATTTGTAACACAATAAAGTACCTTCAAGAAGCTCATTCCAGCCGCGACAACCTCCCTGTTGCTCTCTATCATCAGCTTGGAGACAGTCTCCAATAGACCCTGGACAGCGGTCAGCTCCATATCTCCATGGAAATTGAACAATGCCGCAGCCAAGGCACGTAGAGAACACGACGTCACACGGGGACTTGACACACCACTTAATAAAAGGTCTATGAAGGATTTTATTCCTGGAATAAAAAGATTTAGGTTTCACTCCATTTATGGCATACATTGGAGAGATTAAAAATCAAGACTGCTACAATGAGTGTTCCTCCATATTGGATTTAGGATAACATCAGA